GTATTTAGCCAAAAAAAAAAAAAATGCAGTTAAATGAACCTTCGAAATGAGCCCAAATTGGCTTTGTTTCGGTGGTATGTTTGAGTGCGAACACGAATGGAGGCAGCAATCGTCCATTTCTCTTTCTTACCTGAAAAAAAGCTCACATCCGATGAGGGGGTAAGCTGCTGGGTTCGCGGAGGGAAGTGCCGTAACGTGGCATCTATCGTCGCAACAACACAGAAGCCCGGGCTTGCCCTGCCTGTCCAGTAAATGTCCTAATCCCCTTAATCCCCCAACGCCCGCCCCCCTCCCCATCCCGGCCGTTACCCCAAACATGTAGGGAATTCGTAATAATAAATTACGGCCGTTAGAAGGCCGAATCGTAATTTTAGAATAAGCAGACGATTCAAAAAAATCAAAATGTGGAACAGCCGGAGTCAGAAAGCTAAAACGAAGGATGGGATAAGTTTGTTAAAATAATTTGCGGCTGTTAGTAGGCCGGACTGTAATCTCTGAAACCAAGCGGGCAGTCCGAAGTATGAAAAATGTGAAACGCTCACAGCCCAAAAATCTTAACCTAGGATGAGTTTAGTTTAATTAATTATGATGGAAAAGATAGTAGGGCTGCTCCATGCATCTGGTACAAAACCATATGACATGTTAAAGGGTTATGTGGAGAGGAATGTGTAGGAAACCAGAACTGCCGGGGCAATCAGGACTCCAAAAAAATCAAAATTTGGAACGGCCGGAGTCAGAAAGTTAAAACGAAGGGTGGGATAAGTTTGATGCAATAATTTGCGGCTGCTGCTGCTGGTAGGTCGTAAACCAAATTAAGCGCAATTTAACACAATTTGCTAAAAAGTAGCAATTCCTAAAAACTAAAAAGTGCGATTATTGCAGGCACACGTTAAGAAAACAAAGCAAAATCGTCGGTTTTGCGCGGACAACGTGAAAAAAAAAAAACACTGCAGCGAATCCATAGGCAACATGGACGGCGACGCCGATAATGATGTTTTGGTAGGGCCCCTTAAGGATGACACACTACCCAGCCAT